TATCCTTGCCGCCGTAACCACGTGAATGATTAGATATGTATCACCTTTATTTGCATTTTTCCCTAGTATTCCTAATAGTAATACCTCAGGTTTGTATTGAATGTTTTGCCTAGTCCTTTCTATTGCCCATTCCCAGACCGTACGCCAATACACATGTCCACCAAACTTGAAAAAATGTGCCCTTTTCCTTTTTACACTTCCAGCACATAGATGAGTATCCATTATACATTTTGGCTAATCTGGCCGGAGGGCGATGCCATCTGTAAACCATCTTATACAGATTTTCTTTATATGATGTCGCCAATGTGATTTTGTTATTTTGTTCCCATACTTGCTGCCACTGATCCATATTTATATTATATCCTAGATCTATTGCCCATGTCACCATTGTTTCTTTAACCTGCTCCTCATATAGCTTATATTCCAACAAGTATTTATAAATATTCTTTATTTGTTTTTCTCCAAGCCTAGCAATATTTTATCTAACCCTGTATCTTGTCTGTTAATACCTCATTCTTGCTTATCCTTCATGTATCTTGCTTGTATCTGGAAATAAGACCACCACTTCAGGTCTATTCCTTGTTGTCTTAGCTCTTGTTTTTGTTTTAAATAACCTTCTTCTGTCAAAATGTCTTTATATGTAATAGCCTTGTCTTTCCTATACAGATTGGGATATGTGATTGCCTCTAATGGCGATAGCCAAGCTGGAGTCTTTGTATAATATTGACATTTGACTATATTCCAGCTTTTTATTAATTCTTGCCGAATCTTATGTCTTAAAAAATACTGGTGGTTTCTGCTTTGCCCCATCCATAGGTGAGCATGCCAACCCTGCTGAAGGTTGTAACCCTCTACATGTAAACATCTTTTATTTTCTAAGGTTATCCAGTCTCTAATCCACATCAGGGCCGCTGTCTGGTAATATAGCTCCCAATCTAGGAAACCTAAACCTCCCCTCTCTTTGGCGTCCTGTAATGCCTTTAATTTTATTCTTGCCTTGTTACCTGACCACACAAATTCTAAGGTTAATTTATTCAACTCCTTGAAAAATTTCTTGGCTAATTGAATTGGGATGTTCTGAAACAGCAATATTATTTTGGGTACGATGTTTGTTTTCACTGCTGCAATTCTCCCGAAAAATGAGAGATGTAAATTTTTCCAGCAGTCTAAATCTACTTTTATATTCTTTACAAATTGCCATAGTTGTCTTCTTTAATTGATGAGCAGTGTGCTGAAATAACTATCCCTAGATATTTTAATTTGGAAACTATTTGTATACCTAATTTTGCCTCGAGGTTTCTTTTTTGTATATTAGTCATGTTTTTTATAATAATCTTTGTTTTATTTCTATTTATTTTCAAACCTACCAATCCCCATACTCTTCCAATATTTCGAATAGTTTCTGCCCTGATTGTTCTGGGTCTTCTAATATAAATGCTAAGTCGTCTGCATAAGCTTGAAGTTTGTATGTTTCTTTCTTAACCCTAAGTCCTTTAACTTGCTCTTCTTGCCTTACTACTCTAGCTAGAATTTCTAATGCATATATAAATAACAATGGCAAGGGAGGACATCCTTGTCTTGTGCCTTTCTGTATGTTGAATTTATCCGTGGCCTCTCCATTTATTATGATCTGGGCCTTTTGTTCAGAATATATTGCGGTTATCATGTTTAAAAATTTTTCCCCAACATCCATTGATTTTAGTTGTTGGATCATAAATTGCCAATTGACATTGTCAAAAGCCTTCCGTGCATCAAGGAACAGAAGTGCCACTTGACGATCACTATGCGATTCATAAAATTCAAGAGTGTCTAAGATTATTCTTATGTTCCACTTAGTCTGTTTGGGAAAACTCCATTTTGATCAGAATATATGAAATCAATTAGGTATTTTTTGAATCTCTCCGCCATTATTGAGGCAAAAATTTTATAGTCAGAATTCAATAATGATATAGGTCTATAATTTTGTATCCGTGTTTTTTCCGCTTCTTCTTTTGGAATCAATATTATGTTTGCCTCTGTCCAGGACTTAGGTATTTTAGCTTCAGTTAATACGGCATTGAAAACTTCTAATAGGTATTGATTAAGTACACTTTGTTGCTCTTTATATAGTTCCGCTGGCATTCCATCTGGGCCAGTCGCCTTATTGATCTTTTGTTTACTTATAGCCCTGGTTATTTCAGCCATTCTTATTTCCTCATTTAACATAGATTTTATTTCTTCTGGTATCTTCGGTATATCTGCCTTCTCTAAGTATTCTATTATCCTTTCTACATTTTCCCCCTCATTTCTCTTATATAATTTTCCATAGTATCTTTGAGTGATTCCCCTTTGTATAGTCTCCTCCCCCAGTCCCAAAGGTGCTTTTTCAAAAGGCAACTGGATTTTGTTTTTTCTTGAAGATGTTTCACTTCTTACCGAGCCTTAGTGGAACTGCGGTTAGAATGCAGTATTGCAGGCTAATTCTGCTGACTGCCAGCAATTTGATCCTGGCTGGCTTAAGGATGACTCAGCCTTCCATTCTTCTGAGGTCAGTAAAATGAGAACCTGGATTTTGGGAGGCAATATGCTGACTCTGTAAACTGCTTAGATAATGTTACAAAGCACTATGAAGCGGTATAGTGCTATTACTTGTGCTATTGCTCATCCAAGAAGCTAACAAACAGATGATTGCCAGGAATATAAATCCTTCCTTTCTACACCATTCATTCAGAACTGAAGATTTCTTGGATGAGATATGAAATGTCTTTAAGCAAAAAGAAATAAAGTCCAGTTGCCTTCTGAAAAAGCATATTTGGGACATTGCAGGGTAATATCTGCAATATCCCATAGAAATATCTCATGGAAATATGAGCTGTCAAAAATTTATCCTATGATAAATAATCCAGATGGATTGTGGAGAAATGGTCTTGGAGGTATCTTTATGCTAACAATAGAAAGCTTTTTAAGTCAAAACAAGTATTTTAAATTGCACTTGGAAGTCTATTGGAAGCCAGTGTAGGGTTCTGACCACAGGCATAATATGCTGCTGGCAGGACTGCTCTATTTTTTTTTTTTACCAATTAAAGCTTTCATAAAGAGTATTCAGTAGCCCAAAAGTGTAATTATGAGGAGTTGAGTTACTCTAGATAATTTCATTGATCAAAGTAAAAAAATTGGTTTTGCCACTGCATTGTTTCAGAGGGTTTTTGTTTTACTTCTTAGTCTAAGCTATAGTATTTCTTAGGGGTCTCCCAGCAAGAATCCAACCCAGTCCATCCCTGCTTGTTGGAGAAGGTAATTAAAAAGGGATACCTATAGACTAGTCTGGTTTGGGTTGCCAGGAACTGTATTTGGAAATACATTGACAACAAATGCAGTTGGCATATTAAGATGAAACGATACTCTTATCCTATAGCAGCCCAGGCATTCTGCATCCTAAGCAATTTTAAAGGCAGCCTCTTGTTCATTATAATGGTGTTTCCTGAATAATAATAGTGTCCACTATGATAGTGTTGAATGGTGGTGTTCACTATAACAGTTTCATCAGTGTGACAGTGTTGCCTAAATGCCTTCATTTCACAAATAACTGAAAGCTGGTCTTTACAGATAGACCATCCTCTGGTTTATTAGTTCCAGGTGACTGTTGTGTTTCCACAGTTGACAAAGAGCCCAGAAGATCTTCCAAGCTCTCCAGTTGGCTCCTCCAAAGCAGAGCAAACCGATCTAATATCAGAAGTATACCTGGAGTCAAATTATTCAATTACTTATTCTCAAAACTTTTCCCTTGTCTGAATTAAGCTTTTGTTTATTTGCTTTCATTTATCCCAAGACTGTTTTCAAATATTGGTTAAAGTGTTTAACAGCCATCCCTGCTTGAATGTGAGCAGAGGATGCAAACAGAAATGGCAGAAGCTATGTGGTATACAGGTATATTGATTTTGGTTGTTAATGAAGATGTTGCTTTCTGTCATGACATATTTTGCCTCTATGTATTTTGGAGGGGGTTGTTTTTCAGATTGTTTGCAAGTTGATAAGTAAGCACTTAATGCCTGCTGGTGAAGTGCATATCTCTGTGCAGAAGTATTTCATTATATACATTGTCAGGGAAAATAGCTTTTGTTGTACACTTGCACGATGCACTCCAACAGCAACACTATAGATAAATGTTTCATTTACATTCTTCAAGGGGAAAAAAAGGACACAACATTATGACTAATGAAGATTGATGGGAATTTTCTGCTACTCTTCCTCATAAAATCACTTGCATAAAATCCTATGGCGGTGTTATAAATGATAGAAACAGGTGTAACCAGAATGGGAGAACACTGATAATCATATTACATTTTTTTTATTATATCCAAGATGATGCTTTTGAAGGCAGTCATTAAAAAATTCCCATCTGTTCATACCATTTGTCATGCAGGTGCTAAAGTGTCTGAGAGCAAAATCAAAAGTGAGGTGCAGGAGGGGGGAATTGATTGGAAATCTTGCTGCTGATGATGCCATTTTCAACCTGCTAGTTTTGCATTTTTCATTTAGTGAGATACAAGAGAAGTTTGAAATTGGTGAGACATCTCATTAGGATGGAGTCTGTTTTCAAGAAGGTGGAAGGAAATTAAATGCCAGGTTATATTTGTCCAGGTTTTTCTTCTTTTCTGTTTCCTCTAAATCCAAGTTTAAATGAGAGACATTTTTTACATTCATCAAAAATAACATAGTCCAGCAGAAGCCTTTCATGTATGAGAGAGTATCCTCTGTCTCTAGAAAGCTTTTCAATCAGCAGAGGAGATCAATCAAAAGGAAGAAAGGTTGGTATCCAGTTTTTTATCCAAATCTTACACATTTTATATGACTCCAAATTTTCAACAGAAGATTGTAGGACAGAAATACATCTTCCATTCTTACCAGCAGTATCACTCAAAACAGAGAAGTATTCTCATGCTAATGAAAAATCATCTGGGTCGGCCTTTTCCTTTTCCTGTACGGTGTCCGAGCCACCGAGGGGCAGCTGCAGCACCATGATGGGCCACCAGCAACTCTACTGGAAGCCACCCCAGGAAGTTCGAGTAGGACTCGCGCTCCTGCCGCGTCTGCTCCAACCGGCACAGACTGATCCGCAAGTACGGTCTCAACATGTGTTACCAGTGCTTCCGCCAGTATGCCAAGGACATCGGCTTCATTAAGTTGGATTAATTCTACAATAATAGTTGAAGATGGCTTGAAAAGACATAAGAAGAGGTTGGCACTCTTGGAGGACTGGGCTAGCTGCTGTGCAACTGTATACAATAGAAGTACTGGGTTTTGTTTATTCCAATTATGGCAGTGTTTCCTATTAATATGTTACAACTTTCATAATTCTAGCCTAGCTGACATGTAATCTTTAGCATATGTGATCATGAGAATCCATTTTTTTGGTTCTTAAATAAAAAGAATTCAAATCTAAAAAAGAAAAAAGAAAAATCATCTGGATCAAATCATAAGAAATTATTTACTTGGCCACAGACTTTTTTTTTTTCCTGTGAAGGCTTTTCTATGTGCAAAGGTTGTGCTGATCTATGTCAGAAGCTGAACCAATTACTGTAACATCAGCTCAGTTCCTCTTCCAGAAGAAATTATATGAACAGAAACGATGCTGCAGTATTTTGTAGCTTTGGGGTGTTGAAAGGATATTTTGGATATATAAAAGCTAGAGCTAGCTGAACTAGAAAGAATATAGGTTGAACAGATTAACCAATAAATGACTTTTTTTTGTAGTGATCATGATGGATAACAACCTTAATGAGCTACATGTTGAAAATTCAGTCTAATGAAATACACAGGGTCTGTTTGAATGCACAGGCCCATGGAAATGCAAATGCATGCTAGGTATTGCAAATTTCATTGTTTGCTAGCAGCAAACAATGATCTGCCATAGACTAAGAAAAGCTCAGAGGATTTCTGATGCATACATTAGTTGGGAAAATCATATTGATTAGCAATGAATCAGAAGGAGTCTGATATCACCTTTTCCAACTAACAAGATTTATTAAAAGGCATAGCTGGAATTGAGAATTGTATTAAAGAGGCAATTTTATTCAAGTTTTGATTCAATAAATCTATGATATTGTACTGTGTCCTGTTCTTTTTTTTTATTGAAAATTTTTTAAAAGTTTTACAAAAAAACAAAAAAAAACAACAAAAAATAAAACAACCCTCCCCCAAACCCTCCCAAACCACCCCCCTCCATCCCACCCCGAGCTTCCCAGAGCTGAACATAGGCTTAATTAAAATTTAAAAAATTCTAAAAAAAAATTAATCAACTTATAAGGTAATTAACAATAATATATATATATAACAATAAAAACATATACATTAAAAAATACTTAGAAAAGAAAGAAAAAGAAAGAAAAAAAGAAATAAAGGAAAAGAAAAGAAAGAAAGAATACAATCTATAAAATATCAAATTTAAATACAAGTTATGAAAAAGCTAAATGGTATTTTTTATAGCCAATTTATATTGTATGAAATTTATCCATTTTTCCCATACGGCAAAAAATTTCTCTTGTGATTGCTCCTTTAAAAAAGCCGAAATCTTTGCCATTTCCGCCAGATAAGAAACTTTAAAAAACCACTCTTGCAAGGTAGGCAAAGATTCCTTCTTCCAATATTGCCCTACTAACAGCCTTGCGGCTGTAATTAAATTTAACATCAATATAATCTCTTTAGTATCACAATCAGTAACAATACCCAACAAAAATAATTGTGGGGTAAATTTTACCCTCCTTCTAAAAATTCTTTGAATATTCCACCATATCTTAATCCAAAAAGCTTTTATATTTTTACACGACCACCAGATATGATAGTAGGTAGCATCCAAACATCCACATCTCCAACATTTAGGCTGTAAGTCAGGATACATACGAGACATTTTTTGTGGATCAAGGTGCCATCTATAAAACATTTTATAAAAATTCTCCCTTAAGTTCTGGGCTTGCGTAAATTTAACATTTCTCACCCAGATAATTTCCCAGGTATCCAACAGAACTGGTTCACCAAAATTTTGTGCCCATTTAATCATACAATCTTTGATTAATTCTGATTCTGAATCCAGTTCCACTAGAACCCCGTAAATTCTCTTAATATGAGTTCGCCTTTGATCTTTTACTTGTTTAAAGAGATTCTCATCTTCTCTAAGCAAGCCTATATTGCTATCCATCTTCCATCTATCCACTATTTGTCTATATTGAAACCATGAATAGGTAATATTTTCATGTACTAAATCTTCCAAAGATTTTAACTGCCAATTTTGACCATCCCATTTAAGTAATTGTGTATAAGAGACCCTATCCATTTTAACTCCTCTCCTTATCCCCTCTATCGCATGCCCGGGTATAGCCCATAATGGTATTTTAAAGTCACTTTTATAATATTTCCTCCAAACCCGAAGTAGAGTAATCCTTATAATATGAGATTTAAAAACCCGATCCACTTTTTTTATTAAAAATTAAATAGGCATGCCATCCAAAAAGTAAATCCCAACCCTCCAAATGGAGTATTTCTACATTTGTTAAGTTTACCCAATCACTAATTAATGTTAAAACCACAGCATCATAATATAATTTCAAATTCGGTACCTTGAGTCCACCTCTCTCACGGAAGTCCTGCAAAATTTTGAGCTTTACCCTTAGTTTCTTCCCTGCCCAAATAAATTTATTAATACCTTTCTGCCATTCATTTAAATTAACCTCATTCTTTAAAATGGGTAGCATTTGAAACAAGAAAAGAAATTTTGGTAAAACATTCATTTTAATCACTGCAATTCTTCCCATAAGAGATAACTGTAACTTCTCCCAATTCTTCAAGTCTTTCTGTACCCTGACCCACAGCCTTTCATAATTATATTTATACAATTTTGCATTAGAAACAGACAGAGTGACCCCAAAATATTTTATCTTACCAACAACCTCAAAGTCAGTCAAATTAACCAAAATCTGCTTATCCAGATTGGTCATATTTTTAGGTAATATTTTAGTCTTATTATTATTAATTTTAAAACCCGAAACCCATCCATATTGATAAATCAATTGTAATAACTTTACTGCAGAATAGGTAGGTTGAGACAAAGTAACCACCAAGTCATCTGCAAAAGCTATTAACTTATATTCTTTTTTGTTTACTTCTATTCCTTTTATTTCCTGCAACTCTCGAATTTTAATCAACAAAATTTCCAATGTTAAAACAAACAATAACGGTGACAATGGACATCCCTGTCTTGTACCTTTTTCTATTGCAAAAACCTTTGACAAACCCCCATTAACAATAATTTGTGCTGTTTGTTTTTGATATATAGAAGCAAAAGCTTGTAATATTTTTTCTCCAAAATTCATCTCCTCAATTACTTTTAGCATAAACTGCCAATTCAATTGGTCAAAAGCTTTTTCAGCATCTAGAAATATCAGCCCAGCAGAAATTTGGTTATTTTTATCTAAATATTCTAATAAATTAATAACTTGTCTAACATTATTTTTCATATACCTACCAGTTATAAAACCCGATTGATCCTTATGTATAAGCTGATGCAAAACCCTCATAAGCCTATTCGCTAAAATTTTTGTAAAAATCTTATAATCTACATTTAAGAGGGATATAGGCCTATAATTCTTTGGTAAGGTAAGATCTTGACCCTCTTTTGGAATCAAGGATATAAAAGCACTGCGCCATGATGGAGGAATCTCTGAACCCTGTAATATGTTATTAAAAAGCTCACATAAAGGTTGGGTCATCTCTTCTACTAAAGTTTTGTAATAAATAGATGCCAAACCATCCGTAACCGGCGCTTTACCTAGTTTTAATTGTTTAATAACTGTCACAATTTCCTCATTAGTAATTAAATCATTAATTTCTTGTTTCTGATCTTCTGTTAATTTAGGAAAATTAGCCTCACTTAAATAATTATTTATATCTAAAATTTGTACATTAGTACTCTTATATAATTTTTGATAATCTAAAAAGGATTTCTTAATCAACTCCTTCTGATACACTAATTTACCATTATAATTTATTTTATCTATAGTTCTCTGTCTCTGTTTCTTTCTTAATTGATAGGCCAACCATCTCCCTGGTTTATTAGCATTACAAAATGTATTTTGTTTCATAAACAGTAAGTTAGTTGCAGTTTGATCAGCCATCAGCATGTTAAATTGTGTTTTTAACAACTTTATAGATTCTTTAATCTTTTCATCTGTAGGATTTAGAATCAGAGATTTTTCTTTTAGTTTAATCTCATCTTCCAATTCCTTACGTTTCTGGATCTGCTTTTGTCTATGGACATTATTCATTTTTATCAGAATCCCATGCATAAAAGCTTTACCTGCATCCCATACCATTGATATTGATGTTCCCTTATGCATATTTAAAGCAAAATAATCCTTTAAACACTCCTTTAATTTTTGAACATTCCTTTCTTGTCGAAATAAGTTCTCATTCAGCCTCCAGGATCTCCTCTCCTCTTTTTCATGAACTAGTTCCATCCAGACTGGACTATGATCCGTCAATGACCTAGGAAAGATTTTTACATTCTTTACCCTGTTATATAAATCAGTTGTAATCAGGAAAAAGTCAATTCTTGAAAAAGATTGATGTCTATCTGAGAAAAAGGTAAAGTCTCTCTCCTCTTGGTTACGTTCACGCCAGTAATCCCTCAGCTCCCAGTCCTCTTTCAGATCAAAAAAAGCTTTGGGTAATTTAGCCTGTTTAAAAAAAATGGAAGAACCTTTTTTGTCCCTTTGTGTATCTAAAACACCATTCCAATCTCCCATTAATATCACAGATCTATAGTCCAACGAAATTATTTTCTGATGTAACAGTCTGTAAAATTGTTCCTGTTGTTGGTTTGGTGCATACAGTCCCACTATAAGTATTTTCTTACCATATAAACCCAGTTCAATCATAACGTATCTTCCTTGAAGATCTGATTCTACCAGACGAACTGGTAGATTTTGCTTAACATAAATAACCACACCCCCTTTTTTCCCAGGGGCAGGAGATACAAAGTGAGATCCCAAACAAGCATTGACTAAATATTTTTGATCTTTAAGTTGAATATGAGTTTCCTGCAAACAAATAATGTCATTATTATGTTGCTTTAAATAGTAAAATATTTTCTTTCTTTTCTGGGGGGAGTTAAGGCCGTTAACATTCCAGGTCAGGAACTTTGCCATCTCCCTTAACCAAAAGCCTGGAGAAGACTGCCTGAAGCTCTGCCATTGAGGAATGTGTTGCAGAACTCTTGGGTCTTGCTCCTCCCACCGGCACTGAGACACTTTCATGAGAAGATTCTTTAACTTCTTTCTTCTGTTGTTCCTTTTCCTTACGTCTATATGC